GGACGAGCTTGGTGAAGGCGTCGGCGGCGCCCGCCATGCGGGAGAAGCGCGCCTTCTGCTGCAGGTCGGGCGCGCGCGACTCCTTCATCTTTAGCGCGAACCATTCGGCATTCGGGGGGGGGGGGGGTTGAGGCAGGAACCACCGTGGCGAGAGAGGGCCCGGTGTTCCATGCGAAAGGCGTTCCCCACCCTGGTGCTCGCGAGCCTCGGCGCGCACCTCTGACTCGTTGGGCCGGCGGGGTGGCGGGCAGGGGCGGCCTGGCTGCACTGCGGGCATGAAATGCGTGTACTACCGCGTATACGAGAGGTTATGCATTATGAACCAAAACGACCGCAGCGGCCAGCCGGCCGCCGCCGCGCCGCCACCACGCAGCAGCTCAGTCGCGGGAGAGCTCACCAGCCTGTGCAACTCCGCCACTCACAGCACTCTCCAGCTAGAGGGAGCGGACCGTGAGTTGAGGAAATCGAGGGACGCGACCCACTTCGCCACAGACGGTCCCGCGCCTCGCCGCTATGACGGGCACACGCCCCGCACCGTCCGCTGTGTGCCCGTCTTTGTCCGGAGTGAATACTCCAACGCGCTCGTCGGTGGCGGCTTCCCTCAACCTGCGCCGCGCTCGGCGAACCTCGACAGCGCTTTCGGTGGCATGCAGCTCTTTGCGACAGAAGCCTGGAGAGCAGCTCCTCTGCTGCTCACACACTCTGCACAGTTGACACAGCCTACTGTGCGGCTGCCACAGCTGTGACAGCGATGGGCTCGCCCTCACTGGCCCTCAGTCACTTGTGCTGCGGCTTGTGTGAGCGACACTGCTCGGCGACTGCCGGCACACTGTGAGACCATGGGTGTGAGGTCAAAACCACGCTACCAGCGCTTGGTCACATCGGCCCCGAGGTCAGATCCTTCTACTCTGTTGATGACAAGACTTGTCTACTCGCTGGAGCCGAGCAGGAGGGCCCGGCGCACAACCCCTGGACAACTCAGGGTCCACACCCCGTACGTCAGTAGACGGCTTTACGGCCTTACGCGCCGGCCGCCCGCGCCGCGCGCCGGCGCCGCGCGCGCACACCCTGGGCCTGGCGCGTCTGGTCCCACCGCGGCTGCGCGCGGCCACCGGCACCGCAGGGCCCCGGCCGCCAAGGCGCCAAGGCGGCGCCGCGCGCGGCCGCTCCATATACACATAGCGCGTGTCTCTTCGACTTCGTCTCGAGACAGCTGGCGGCATGCGAGGGACGTACTGACGAGTGACTAAAGTATGTGCGACCGTGTGCACACAGCTCCGGCAGCGGATCTGGTAGTGCGCCCTCCGCCCAGACTTCCCAGACGGACTGGTGTGACTGCGTGCGCAGACTGCACAATGGGCCAGCACGAGACCTTGGGAGAATTGAATGACCGCGCCTTCATCCCGCGTGTCCGCCATGCAGCACTGTCCGGGCCAACCGTCTCCCGTTACGGCGCGCTGTGTCGCCTCATCGGCCGCCCCTCCCTCGCCGGAACAAGGCGTCGAGCTCGGCCCTACTGAGCTGCCCGCTGCCATCAAGGTCCAGCTCGTCAAAGAGCTCCTCGCCCACAGTTGTACTGAGAGAGAGAGAGAGAGAGAGAGAGAGAGAGAGAGAGAGAATGAATTCTCTCTCTCTCAGTTGTACTGACCCTCTCCACTGATCACTTCCGCCCCCTCGCTCCCAACCCATCCACCTCGCCTCGGGCCGCGGCGCGACCGGAGTGTTGGAAAATTATTTTTTGACCCGCGGGAAAATTCTTTTTCTCGGCTTCCAGCTTCGCCGACCGATAACCTCGCGCGGCCAAAGGATTCTACTCGAGAACCTGGAGCTATGCCGCACGGCCCGCCGCCGAAATGCGGGTCGCTTGCCCCAGATTTCTCCGCCACGTCCCACGAGAACAAGACCGTCAAGCTGAGTGACTTTGAGGGCAAGAAGCTCCTCCTCTGGTTCTATCCTCGGGCGTCCACAGGCGGATGAACCGATGAGGGGCTGGCGTTCCAGGCGCTGCTGCATAATTTCACCAAGGCCGGGTGTGCCGTCGTCGGCTGTAGCAACGACAGCGTCGAGAAGAATAAAACCTTCTCTGATGCGCAGGGTTTCACTTATCCGCTCCTCTGCGACGAAGACCTCTCCGTGGCGGCTGCATACGGTGCGGCATTGAGCGCGGAGGAGGGCGGCCCGAAGGCGAAGCGCGTCGCGGCGCTGATCGACAAGGGTAAGCTCATCAAGTACTTCGACCCGGCAGGCAAGGGCGAGTTCCCTTGCCAAGCGCTCAAGGTAGTCGAGGCGCTCATCTAGAGCGACGCGATAGAGGAGATCAGATTGAACCCAGGAGGAGACCACGCGTGCTTCGCGAATGACGGCGTCGCCCGTAAACCGCGCCATCACCCAAAAACCTCCTGGGTTGAATGGGTAGGCGGCGGGTGACGCCTGAGACTGCACGGCAAGCGTCATGTTTTTAGATCTGAAGAGCGTGCGAAGAGGGAGCCGGCAGATCCGCACAAAAACCATCTCCATCACTGTCTCGTGTCTGTCACGGGGCATTCAGCCAAAATGTGGGGGGAGAACCATTTCGCAACTGCGTCCATATTACGTACCTGCGGTACCCGGGAGACAGGAGTGGGAGTGCTTAACATCAACATTCTGCACGCCCGGGCATGCGAGACATGCTCATCCACATCTTCCCGCGCCATAAACAGTGCTCACACGTGCGACAGCCGATACATGCACGGGCTGCAACCCATTAGCATCGCATACTCTCCCTTAGATTGCTCACAGAGCTGTGCCATCTCCAACGCACCTTTGCTCGACTCCAGGCCGGCGTCGTGCCGAGCGAACTTCCAGCTCCCTGCGCGCGTAGACACAGACACAACAGCGTACATTCTAAGCGCCGGGCCGTGCGAGCCGAGAAGCTCACACCCTGCCGCCCGGCGGCGCCGAGATCCGCGCGCCTCGCAGCGAGGCGGCGGTGGCAGTTGCGACGCGGCGGAGGCCAGGCCCACCAACCCTGTAGCGCGGGGAGGGGGCATGCGCGCGTCAGCGGGAAGGGTCTCTCCTCGCGGCGGGAAGCCCTCCGAGCGGCGCCGATTCGCAGCCGCCGGCGTGCGCGCAGCGCTGTCGCTGCTCGCCGCCGCCGCCGGCGCCTCGGCGTAGAAGCGGCGGACGGCGGCCTATGAAGATGGACGAGCGCTAGTTGGCGCGTGCCGGCGCCTCGGCGGAGGAGGCGGCGGCAGCTGCCTTCTCGGAGCGGGAGGTGAGCAGCTCGTCGGTCTTGCAGAGCTCCTTGAGCCGCGCCTCACACTCCTCCTTCTCCGCGCGGACGATCCTAGGGTTGGGATTAGGGTTAGGGCCAGAGGGCTGGCACACACTCCTCGTTCTCCGCGCGGACGATGCCTGCGCTGCGAGAGGCGGCACTGGCGCAGCACGTCGCGCATCGTCGAGCGGCGGATACCTGTTCACGGCTGCACGCGTGAAGAGGCGCCGTTCACGGACCGCACCCTCGCACCGTCGAGCGGTGGCTGCGGTCGGCGTGCTCAAAGACGTTGGAGACGAACGCCTCCCAGCCCGCAACCTCCGCCCCAAAGATGGTCTCCACGAAGGCGCGCGTCGCCTCGAGCCGCCCCCGCTCCGCCGCCGCAGGGTCCCCGATGCACGGTCCTCCGCCTATGGGGCGTGTCCCGGACGTGTCCCGGACGTGTCCCGGCGGGCGGCGCCTCCGCCACTCGCATCCTCCGCCAAGCCCAGCGTACGCTCGCACCGCGATCGGCCGCAACGCGTCAGTCAGCGGGTCGACCAGCTCGAGCGGCTCCCCGCTCGCGTCGGTGCCGGCGGCGTACCGCATGAAGGCGGCGAGAGCAAGCGCGACGATGTCAGTGCCCTCCTTGGCGTGCTTGTGCGCGGGCGCCACCTACCACACCACCCACGGGACTGAGCCCACACCGGATTCGGTACTCTGGAGGTATGGGAGTCGCCGTCTCGCACCCACGAGCTCTTGGCAAGGACCTCGCAGACCAGCTCCTGCTGCGCGCGGTAGTAGAGCAGCGCGTGCTGCAGCGTGTTCATGAACTTTTGCGAGCCGTCGAGCGCGAGGCGCGCAAGCTTGTCCTTGATGAATTAATTAGCCCGTGCTCATTCATTAACTATGCGAGAGGCGCGTTCATTCATTCATTACGCGAGCTTGTCCTTGATGTACGCGTTCGAGAAGCGCTCGAGCAACGAGCGCTGGTACTCGGCCAAATCGACGCCATGCACCGACCCGAGCGTCTTGACAACCTCGAGCATGTACGCGCGCAGAAAGGCAAACACGTCCGGGTCGGCGAGGGCCTACGCGAGAGACGTGTCGATCACAGCGGCGGGGTGTGGAGAAGAGGCGCCCGGGTCGGCGATCGCGTCGTCGACGAAGACGTGGTCGCACAACATCGCGGCGTACGAGAGCGCCTGAGAGGAAGCGTACGAGTCATGCACACGCCACTCTCTCCTCGCCCAGCACCGCGGCGCACGAGAGCGCCGAGTGCGACGAGTTGAGCAGGCGGAGCTTCATCAGCTCGTACGGCTCCACGTCGGCCGTCAGCATCACCTGTTCACGGCTGGAGGTGTCAAGGGGCGCTGCTCCCGACACGACCTCTGCGCGCGGCCGGCCCCACACGTCATTCGGCATCGCCAGCTCCCAGCTCGGCCTCCCCGCCGAGAAGGAGTCCTCGATGACCCACTGCAGGAAGGGCTCCTAACCAACAAGCAACCATGGACTCGGTCGACAAGTCTGAGCGAGGTCGATGGCCCACCGCAGGTAGGGGCACCGCGATCACAGGCCACTCGTCGACGATGCCATACTCGGAGCGGAGCAGCTCGCGGTGCTCGTTCTCCGTGGCGGGAGTGATGCGGTCGACCATCGAGTTTGGAAAGGCGACGTCCCGCTCCATCCACGCGGCGAGGTCGGGGTCGACGGCAGACGCGAAGTCGAGCGTCACGGCGCGGCAGACGGAGCCGTTCATGGGCATGTTGTCGCACGACAGGACCTAATGAATGGTCCATTGACACTGAACCATTCATGACGGAGCCGATCACAGGCATGTTATCGCGCGACAGGAGACCGTGAGAGGGCCGAGGCCCGCGCTCCGTCGCCGCTGCAAGATGGTGCAGATGAGGCCGAACGCGGTGCGCGGCTGGGCGAGCCCACGCGCCCCGCCCCACTCGTCAATGTCCTGTTCACAGCTGCAGGTGTGAACAGACGCTGTTAACACCTTGAGGTCGACCGCCCCACTCGTCAATGTCCTGCTTCACCAGCGGCGCCGTGCGGTCGAGAGACCCGTCCGTGCAGCGGTAGTAGCCCTTCTCAGTGACGGTGAGCGACACGATCCGCACGCTCGCGCTGCAGAGCCGCGCCAGCGCAGCCTCGGGGTCGGCGGGCACGAAGACGAACTCGAGGATCGAGCCGATGACGCGCGCAGAGGCGGCCGCGTTGCCTCGCAGCAGGAGCGAGTACAGGCCGTCTTGCTTGGTGAGCACCTCCGCCATCTTTTTGTCCCACGGCATCAGGCCGACGCCGATGATGCCCCACCGCTCCGCCGCCTTCACCTCTCCCGCGTGCTGCTTCGTCAGCAGCACGTCCGTCACGTACGCCAGGTGCGAGCGGTGGAAGCCTCCGACTCCGATGTGAGCGATGTGCGCCGTCGCCTCGCGAGAGCCTTGCGCGGGCAAGCTTGCCGCGCTGCCTGCCGCGCCGATGGCGGCGAGGTTGGCGGCACAGAGGGGGAGAGCCTGCCGCTTTGGCGCCGCGGGCTCGGAGAAGGGGTTGAAGGCAAAGCGGAGCCAATCGCCGGACGCCTCGTCCCCGAGTGCCGCCTAGAAAAAGAAATGTGACGACAGTATTTCTTCTTACGTGTGGAGTCGCCTCCCCGAGCTCGTCCCCGGGGGCCGCCTCGTCTGCCGCGTCGCCGGCGGCGGAGAGAGTGTCGGAGAGGTTGGTGGTCGGCGTGCCCACTCCCATCTCCACCTCGAGCAGGGTGCCGTCCTACAGGGAGGGTCCGCGAAGGCTCCCACAGAACCGGGCTCACACCTGTCCCCCTCCTCCCCGCCTCGAGGCGGCTTGGTCACTCACCTCTGCTATCGCGGGACCGACGAGGTCGCGGGAGGACTGGCGCGATCGGCTGCGCGAGGAGACAGGCGAGGGCGCAGAATGCTGCGAGGGCGCCTGCTGCTGCACCTCGAGCGCAGACACCCCCTGTCAGTTAATTAACTTTTGATTCTTCAGTTGTTCTTACTGTCAGCACCTCGAGCGCAGACAGCCCCTGCAGCCCGGAGCCAGCCTGCGCGTCGGCCAACCCATGGACGGCGGTGAAGCTCGCCTCGCCGCGGGCGCCGCGCGCGGCGCCGCGCCGCCAGTCCGAGTAGCCGCGCCGGAACTGCGCCGCCTCGTCGCGGATCTTCTGCAGGTTCTGGTAGCCCGACAGGTTCTTCGCCTCGAGTGACTCGGGGCTCGCCGTCGTGACGGCGAGCGGGAGGTTGAGGTCGAGCGCAGATAGCTTCCACGCGCGCGCCATCGGAGGCTGGTCTGAGCCGCCCGAGCTGCGCAGCTCGCCGAGCATCGGCCGCCGCAGGTCGCCCGACGGCACGCGGAGCTGGTTGATGACCTCCTGCCGCGCCTCCTCGTCGAGCAGAGTGCCGTAGTCCGAGTCGATGGAGGTGATCTGGTTCTCGCCGCTCGGACGCTCGCGAAAATGCGCGACGAGCGGGACGGGCATCGCGAGACCAACACTCTCCGACTCTAGTAATAAAGAATTTTAGAAACAGCCCTTCGCACACGCACGATTCACACGACAGACAAGGCGCAGGCGACGGCTTCCTTAGAAGCCGTCGCCCTCGCCATAAAGGAAGTCGTCCTCAGGCAGATGATCGAATCCGCCAACACCGTAGTGCTCGCCGACACAACCATCATCCCCATCATCCAACTCCCACCTCCTCCGCTCCCGCAGCGCCCCCCGCCGGCGTTCGTGGCAGGACTTCCTGCCCCCCCAGCCAGCGTTGCGCAGCAGCAACACCAGGCCGGCCCGAGCCGTTTCAGCTCCGGCCCAACCAGCTGAAGCTGTAATAAAGAATTTGAACACGAAAAAGAATCTTAATAAAAAGAATCTTACAAAAAACTCCCTCGCACAACACTCGGCCAAAGGATATCCACCTCGAGAACCGAGAGAGAGAGAGAGAGAGAATTCTTGATACGAAACCACGACGACACACACCAGTCGACTCGCATCGGTTGCCTCCATGAACGGCGGAGCTATTCTCGCGTCCACACCACACCTGGCTCCAACCAACGTGGACACGCCCATAGCTGGGGACACTACTAGGTCACGCATGGCATCAGACGTTTTATCTCTGGGCCCCGAAAGGCATCTCTAGCAGCGTCGTTACGCATGCGCCCTCCCCTCCTGGGCGCATACGCCTCACGTCTCGACAGAGCATAAGCCCTTGGCGTGTGACGAGACGAGTTCTTCGCCATCGCAGCGAGCAGCAAGCCACTCTCCGCAGCAGCCGGAGGCATCGCCGCAGCACTGTCTGCGCCGCGGTCCCTCTCTCTCTCTCTCTCTCTCTCGAGAACCTCGAGAACACACACTCGCGGCCATTCACGCCCCAACAACCTCTCGAGTGAGGAGACCGCGGCGCGTCGTCGGTGCCTTCAGTGCATGCGAGCCGCAGCAGACACACCAGTCGACCAGAGAGAAGCAGGATGGCAGCCGTGCTCAACATCGGCGGTAGCGATGATCCAGCGTGCGCTACCCGCCCGGCGTTCTGCCCTCCCTCCCCCGCCGCCGCCACCGATACACGCCGTCGCGCCTTCCCGCCGCTGCCGCTGCTCCGGCCTCCTTGCCTCTCCTACGGCCTCGCCGCGCCCGTCGCCGCACGGGCCCTCGCTGTCGCGAGCTCCGCCTGCGCCCGCACCACCTCCCTCTCCAGCGCCACCGCCTGCAGCGCCGCCGCCTGCAGCGCCGCCGCCTGCAGCGTCGCCGCCTGCAGCGCCGCCGCCGCCCTCTCCGCCCGCGGCAGCGGCAGCGGCAGGCGGTGCCGCCCACACGGCCGCCCGCTGCGCGCAGGTACCGGTACAAGATGCCGGCGGTGGTCGGCAAGCAGGAGGGGCGCGGCAACGGCAAGAAGACGGTGATCGTCAACGCGGCGGACGTCGGCAAGTCGCTCAAGCGGCCGGGCGAATACCTCACCAAGTACTGCGCGGTTGAGCTCGGCACGATCTCGACCTTCGACAAGACGCAGGGGCAGGGCTGCATCACCGGCTGGCACGAGACCAAGGACCTGCAGGCGAAGCGGTTCAAAGTCAGCCATCACCGCATGACGGCCACTCCCCCACTTCTTGTCGGCTCCTCTCACCCGTAGGACAAGACGAACAAGTTCATCAAGGCGCGGCGAGTGGTGCGCCAGTTGCGAGCTGGCGGGCGTGATCACCACTCGTTGGGAGCCCTTGACAGGAGTGGGCGCTGTGCGTGTGAGCGCAGTCCGGCGGGCGACATGACTGACCACCATTCGCCGCCAATGAACAGGAGCGGTCCACGTCAAGACGGCCGACCTCGAGGTTTGAACAGCGTCTGTTCACACGTGCAGCTGTGAACAGGAGCGGTCCACGTCAGGACGGTCGACCCCGAGGTGTGAACAGCGCCTGTTCACACCTGCAGCTGTGAACAGGAGTGGGTGCTGTGCGCCAAGTGCAAGCTGCCGGAGACATCGATGGAGCTCGACTCGAAGAAGCGGATCATGTTCGACTGCAAGGCTAGCTTAGCATCGCTGTTAGTAGTGTCAGTAGCGTTCGTAGCAACAGCAGCAACAACGGCAGCAGTAGCAGCAGCAGCAGCAGCAGCAATAGCAGCAGCAGCAGCAATAGCAGCAGCAGCAGCAATAGCATGAGTCGCCGCATCGGCCCGAGGATGCGGATCCTGCTGGGCGTGCGGCCACCGCTGGTGTAGCGGCGAGCTCGTTGTTCCTTGTGCAGAGAGAGTCGTTTCCCGTCGAGTGCTGCTGCGGCCACCCCCCCTCCTTCCCCCTCGGGAATATCTCCCCACATCTCCCCATATCTCCCCAGATCTCCTCCTTCAGCCTCGGGCCTCACTCCACACTGTCTGTCCTACCAGGTGCAGCGTCGCGGACATGTCGCACACACCTCGGCAGCGCGTCCTGAGTGAGCCCTTACTCAGGCGTGCGGCCACCACTACGTCGCGGACATGTCTCACAAGCGATTAATTAGTAGTCAGCTGATAGTGAATTCATAGGCGTGCGGCCACCACTACGTCGCGGACATGTCTCACAAGCGATTAATTAGTAGTCAGCTGATAGTGAATTCATAGGCGTGCGGCCACCACTACGTCGCGGACATGTCTCACAAGCGATTAATTAGTAGTCAGCTGATAGTGAATTCATAGGCGTGCGGCCACCACTACGTCGCGGACATGTCTCACAAGCGATTAATTAGTAGTCAGCTGATAGTGAATTCATAGGCGTGCGGCCACCACTACGTCGCGGACATGTCTCACAAGCTCGCAAACTACGTCCTCAACAACCCGCCCGACGCTAAGGGCGGCATCGTCCAGGCGCGAGATCGCCCGAGATTGCGCGAGGCTGTCCGAGAGTGCGCGACCCGGGCATCATCGCAGGGGGGAGATGCCGCCGAGATGCCGCCGAGAGGCCGCCGAGATGCCGCCGAGATGCCGCCGAGATGCCGCCGAGAGGCCGCCGAGATGCCGCCGAGACGCGGCCGAGGGGCATGCCGTGTGTGGGGTGTGTGGTGTGTGTAGACCAGCCTGCGCGTTGGCGGCACTTGCGACGGGGCGCGGGTGGCGGCACGCCTTCTTCGCCACAAGTGTCGCACCTCTTTAGGGCGGCGGGAACGCGAGCAAGGGCAAGAGCAAGGAGGACCGGCGCAAGGAGAAGGCGGCGAGGCAAAAGGGGGGCGGCGCTGCCGAGGAGGAGGAGGAGGAGGAGGCGGACGACACAAACGTGAGGCAGCTAGATTGGTTAGTTGATAAACTAGTGAAGAGTGAGTTACTAATCAAACGTGAGGCATCTAGATTGGTTAGTTGATAAACTAGTGCATAGTCCGTTACTCATCAGAGGTGAGGCAGCTAGATTGGGGAGGACCAGCGGGAGGACAGCGAGGAGTCATTGGTTCACTAGTGAAGAGTCCGCGTTACTGATCAATCCTCAGCATCAAGCCACCCCCCTCCCCTCAGGCGCCCGCCAATGAGTCATTCATCAATACGTTGATTAGCAAGTCGTACTCTTAGGGTTGATACGTGGGTTACTAATGGGTACTCCTAGGTCCCAGCCAATGAGCTGAAGGAGCGCGCCGTCGGCAGCTTCGCGGAGCAGGGGGAGGAGGAGGAGGACGAGGACCAGGAGTGGTCCGTCGACACTTCTGCGGACGCCGTCGCCGCGCGGCTCAGGGCGCGGCGACGCCTGGCTGCTTCAAGCTGACTCTCGGCGGGGAGGCGGCGAGTGAGTCTCCCCGATGGTTGTGATGAGTCAGGTGCAGGAGGCGGCGTACTCGAAGGTGGAGGCGGCCGAGCAGGGCATCAGCGACAAGAAGGCGAGCCAGGGGGGGGGGGGGGGCGACGAGCTTGGTGTTTCGTCAGTCACTGGGGGCTTGGTTATGAGTCCACACAGGGTAGGGAGGAGGAGGAGGAGGGGGCTAGGTGAGTTCGATGTGAGCTGCAGCTCACTGAGCGATTGGCGACCAGGCGATGACGGAGGAGATATGGGGAGATATGGGGAGATGTGGGGAGATGTGGGGAGATGTTGGCTTCCAGGCGATGAAGGAGGAGGGGCTGGACGAGTTTGAGATCGAGAAGCGGAAGATCGGCGACGAGGTTGGTCGCCCTCGCGGAGGAGGAGTCCCTCATTCTCAGCCCACGGCCACTCGTCAGAGATGAGTGTGACAGGTGCGCGCGGCGCGGAGGAGTGACTCACTATTACTCACCTCTTACTCAGCGGGCACTCGCCAACGGCTCTTGGTACAGGTCCGCGCGGCGCTGGAGAAGTCGGAGGCGGAGGAGGACGCGAAGGCGCGCGTCGCCGTCGGCGTGAAGGCTCTGATGGAGGCAGCCGAGAGCAGCGCGAGCTGGCGCGCCCTCCTCCGCTCACCGCGTCATTGTGCGGAGTCGCTGTTTCGGCAGGTCGCCGAGAAGCGCGAGCTCCAGCCGCTCGACCTCTTTGGCCCTCCCGCTGACGGCGGTGTGTTGCGGCGTCTCTTCTCCCGTCGCGGAGTCCGACTGCTGCTCCCGCGTAGGTGTACCGTTGACGGCAGGCCGGCCGCTGTTCGTCTCCCCGTTGCCCACTCAGACTGCCGCCCCCCCCGCAGGCTTCCTCTTTGACGGCGTGCTGGATGCGGCCGCTGTCACGACCCTCAAGGCGCACACGCGGCTGCTGCAGAAGCTCTACAAGGCCGTAGTTGTGAGCGGCGAGCTGTTGGTCATTCAGGCGCACATGCGGCTGCTGCAGAAGCTCTACAAGGCCGTAGTTGTGAGCGGCTCTACAAGGCCGTATTGGTCATTCAGGCGCACATGCGGCTGCTGCAGAAGCTCTACAAGGCCGTAGTTGTGAGCGGCTCTACAAGGCCGTATTGGTCATTCAGGCGCACATGCGGCTGCTGCAGAAGCTCTACAAGGCCTTGCCGAGGAGACAAGGCTCTGCTTGCCCGACTAGTCGGTTGAGCGGTCAGTGTCCATCAGGCGACGCGCGACAGGATAACTATCTCCCCAGATCTCCCCAGATCTCCCCAGATCTCGCCCTGAGCTCCTCAGGCGACGCCCGACAAGAAGAAGACGCAGTCCTCTGTTCACAGCTTGCAGGTGTGAAGAGTCGCTGTTCACAGGCGACGCCCGACAAGAAGAAGACGCAGTCCTTCCTCCTCAAGCAGATCGAGGCGCGAGACACGGGCGGCCGCGTGCCGGAGCTGTGAACAGCGTCTCTTCACACCTGCAGGCTGTGAACAGGCGCTCGTGGGCCGCGTGCCGGAGCTGGAGAAGAAGGCTCGCGCCCACCTCAAGTTGGAGCACCGACGACGACATCGGACGAGCCCCCTCGTCATGGCTGCTCTGAGCCTCCCTAGGCGCAGTCTGATTGGACACTCTCGCACAATGCAGCGCTCTCATCGAATGCTTCTGTGGCGCAGGTGCCGACCCTGCTCAAGCTGCTGTACGACGCGGACATCCTCGACGACGAGGACGTGCTCTTCAAGTGGTTAATAATTAATTAATGAATTAATAATAATTATTAGGACATCCTCGACGACGAGGACGTGCTCTTCAAGTGGTTAATAATTAATTAATGAATTAATAATAATTATTAGGACATCCTCGACGACGAGGACGTGCTCTTCAAGTGGCACGAGAAGGAGCCAAACACGACGCCCGGCCCCGGCGGCATCTCGGCTGCATCCCGGCTGTATCTCGGCTGGACACCTCGCCGTAGGAGTCGAAGAAGAAGCTGGGCCGCAAGGCGCCCCCCCCCCCCCCCCCCCTCTCCGCCATCCCTCGCCCACATCGCGGCAATCTCTCGGCCTGTCTCTCGGCCTGTCTCTCGGCCTGTATCTCGGCTGTATCTCGGCTGTATCTCGGCTGTATCTCGTGGGAGTCGTCACTCTCACCGGCCGTGCCTCGAGATATGGGGAGATATGGGGAGATGTATATCTCACCGGCTGGGCCGCGCGCCGTATTCCTTTTCGCGACTCGAAGGGCTGAAGCACCCCGTGACTGAGTCGTGCCCAGGTGCGCGAGGCGGCGGCCCCATATCGCCCCATATCTCCCCATATCTCCCCATCTCTCAGGTGCGCGAGGCGGCGGCCCCCTTCATCACGTGGCTCAAGGAGGCGGACGACGAGTTCGAGGAGGAGTCGGACTGACGCCGCTGCCATTTCTTTTTACGCGTGTTTTTTCTTTTTTGCAGGCGGACGACGAGTCGGAGGAGGAGTCGGACTGACCCCGCCGCCGCACGGCAAGCTGCGCCCGTTTCCCGTGCACGTGCAGGGCACGTGCCCTGGACGTGTCCTGCACGTGTCCGCGGAATCGCGCGCTTCCGCCGGCCGAGAGTGGCTGGCCATGGACCGCCGGTTGGCTGGAGGCACCGGGCGCGGCGGCGGCGGCGGATGCACCGCCTTCTCTGCTGCGCCCGGCACGCGTGGGCCGCTGTCGAGGATGCCCGCCGCGGCGACGCCCCATCACCCGTTTCAGGAGGAGAAGTTGCAGAGCGTATGAGGTAGGAGTCCAGAGGAGTAGAGGGTGTCGGGGGCGTATCTTGCTATGTCTACGTCACTGCAAACACTGGATGACGCAACACTTTTTGCACATGCATGTTTGATTGTGGTGTCCCGCCGGCACACATCCCACATGCGGCTGTGCGCGCGGGCGGGGGGTCGGAGAGGGTCACACCGCCTCGACACATCACAGTGTCAGGGGCGCGCTGGGCGCTTGCGGTGCCAGCCGCGCTACCCAAGCCACACGCCTATCTAATCTTTCGTGACTCCGTGCACCAGGCCCACCACCCACCACGCACCACAAGCACCACGCACCAGCCTCCAGCGACCAGCGTGACCAGACCGCATTGCATGTGGCCCTAGGCCCTAGGGAACACACAGACATGCCACGTATGGGAAGGATATTCTTTTGCGGGGCGCCTTCGCTCGAGAACTACAGGTCCAAAGTGCAGACGACAGCGCACATGGAAGCGTTCAGAATGGCTGTGTCGTGTGGGCCTGTGGCAGGACGGCCGCACTGCCACTGGGTCCCGGCGGGCGGGGCTCTCGCTGTGAATGCCATAGCAAAATTTAGCGGCTGTGTCGCACATGCGCACGGGCCAGATTGATTCACGAGATTGTGCAGCAACAACTCTTCTCCTTGCTCGGCACACTTGCCTCCTCCTCGACGCTCAACACTGGCCGCGAAAACTGCCACCAGGGCGTCGATTTGCGACCGGCGTCCTCTTCTGACGCCGCGGGCGGCAAGCCGGTCTGCTGACGCTGGATCGGCATGCGCCCTCGGCAACGTGAGCCAAGCCCCTGCGGAAGCTCACTCACGGAGCAAGCGCGATCGCCAATAAACTCTGAAACTCGCCAAAAGCCGACCGACTCCAAAAAAGAAAGTGTCGGTGAAAAAGAATTCAACCAACACAACTCTCTCTCACAGCACACGAAGGGGGGAGGGCGGCAATCGCCCTCACCCTCACGACGCCCACCCCGGCACTCCCCGTCAACCCACACCTCCCTCTCAAGCGCAATCGCCCTGCGCGCCGCCTCCGCTGCACGCTTGCCCGCCTTCTTCGCCCCGAGGGGCGTGGCCGCGGCAGGCGTCCTGCGGAGCAGGCTCGCCCCCTCCCTCAGCCGCATCAACCGCATCTCCTCGGCCTCCAACGCCTGGCCGCTAAGTCCGCTCCGCGCCAGAAAAGCCTCCTTCGCCTTGAACTCGAGCGCCCCCAAACGAGCCCCCTCGACCCGTATCTCGTCTCCACGACACTCAGCTGGCAGTCTGCCGCTCCCTGGGACAGAACGGCCGCGAGTCGTGCGAGTCCCAGCTTATCAACGTAGAAGTAACCCACGTGCCTGGGACAGAAGGCACCCACGCAACGTGTACTTGGCGGGGCGAGCAGGAAATCTTTGCGGGTCACACAAACCCGCCTGAGGTTGCGCGCAGCTATTCTTCCGTGTGGGGCAATGAAGCACCGGGCACCGGGCACGCGCGCTCGAGGCTAGACTCGCCGCAAGCTTGGTCTGCGGCAGCCAACAACGCGGGCGAGTGCCTGACCATCGACGCAGGTTCCGCCCACGACGTGATTGGGGTCGAGACGCAGGGCCGTACCGAGCATGGCCAATTTGTGACTCAGTACACTGTACAGGTGAGTCTCGATGGCCGCACGTTCTCGAACATCGATGGCGGAGCAGTCTTCGTTGGCAACAGCGGCGATGGTAACGCCAAGGTGCGCGCCTATTTCGCCCACCCTGTGGAGGCGCGATACGTGCGGATCATCGTGCACGCTTGGGTTGGCCATATCTCGATGCGAGCAGGGTTGCTGGTGCAGGACACGGGCGGTTGGAGTGGCGGTAGCTGGGCAGCGCTCGCTGCCTTCGCGTCGCATATGTGGCACTTTGCGCTTGCTCTAATTGACAATACTCTCGTGACGACGTGGTTCCAGACCCATCCGGAGGTGAGCGGCGATCTCCTGGTGAACGACGCGATGAGACGGCCAGGCGCTCTGCGCGACGAGCTGGTGGGCAACGACCGCCGCCACTTCGCGGAGTACATCGTGAACCGCCTGCTTCCCCTCGGCTCGTACGAACCCGTGCCTCCGCCAACGCCAGGGTGTGACATGTCGCACTTTCGCTGCAATCGCATGTTCTCCTACGGCCGCGCATTTCCCGGCAGCTGTCGCGACGGCGACCCCGATTCATGCCGACTGGTGGTGCCCAGTGACTCGGTGCCCGAGTACAAGTGCATCGACCGACTTCCATACTTTTGTGCGGTTCAACGCTGCACCGACTTTGCCTGCAGGTTCTCCCACAGGCCTTGCGGGGACATTGGCAATGGCCTACTCAGCCCCGGCCAAAATATGCAGGATTGCATGGCCTGCTGCGACCTGAATGCTCCCCCACCACCTCCACCTCCGGCAGCTCCGCCGCAGCCACTTGTTCAGAGCCTCGCTTACAGGTGCGAAGAAGAGCACCGCCCGCAGCTCCGGCTGACTATGCTCTTCCTCGAGCGGATGGATGCCGATGCGTTCAAGGAGCTCTTTGAGCGACTCAGATCCGCAAAGGAGGAACTAGACGGACGAGGGGCCAGTCTTGCGTGGTGGCAGCAGTGCGGTCTCCCTGACGCAACTTCTAGCCAGGCTGACTGGCAAAAGATGTTTTTGAACCTCTGGGGCATGACCTCGAGCATGTTCGACCGGCCGGGTGGCGGTGATGTCTACAAAGGAGTGGGCTATGCGGCAATTGAGCGCTACGCCGTGCACGACTGCCCAAACCAACACCGCTGCGGCAACGACGGCTTCTGCCGCAGGGACAATGATCGTTGCCGCGGAAGCGGCAACGGGTGCGATCAGTGCAGGGGGGGCGGCCACTGCTGCTCGTACACGCGCGGAAACAGCGGCAGCACTGGCTGCGGCGCGGGGCAGACCCCGAGGTGCCGCGATCGCAACCAGCACAGCTACCCCTGCCGGTGCCACGGCGTGGTGGTCAACAGGCGGGCAGACGGCCACACCTCTCCGTGGGGAGAAACTGGTGCCCCAACGCGTCCGCCATGACGAGCTATCGACGGAGACCGGGCTCCCACTATGCCATGACATTCCCACTATGCCACCGTCAGTTGGCGACGGTATATCATTCCCACTATGCCACACCGTCGCACAACCCTGGGACACCAACGCGGTTGGGTGGACGCGTGTACGTGTATCGTGTAGAGTCTCAACAAGGGGTTGTGTAGGCATGTGTGTGAGTGCTTCGCTAGAGGTGCGTGAAGTCCTCCACGTGGTCTTCTCTGCCAAGTGCATCCCTGCTTTCGACTGGCAGAGCGCCGGCCTCGTCTACTCCTTCTCCTTCCGGCGCGTGCGGCAGCCCGGGTGCATCACGTCCGCGAGAACCGAGATCACAGAAAAAGGCTCACACATGCGAAATGGCAAATGGGGAGGCGTTGGACTTGTGGAGGTAAACAGCCACACAGTGTACTCCGAAGACTCGCCGCTTTCCTCCCAGCCTACACACACACCCTGAGAGCCGTATTTCCCGGCCGCGCAGCGCGCAACTCCGCACATGGAGTTCTGTTACTTTTTCGCTCTGTCCTACCGCGTGGAAACAGTAACGGTGTGAGTCGTGCGCTCCGTCGCGCCCTGCGGGCCAAATACACCAACAGACTGATGCGAGTATCAGCTGGAGCGGTGTTACCCGACCACCTTGGTTTCATCGCGCGCGCGGCGAGCGGCCGCCGGCTATGCGGCGGCCGGCGTTCGCCTTGACAGACGCAGCGTTGACCACCTGCCGCATGCCTCGGGCGCCGGCGGTGCGCTCGCGCCGCCCACGCTCGATCCTCTGGATACGCACCGCCGCCTCCTGTCGCGAGACGTACATCGCGCGCCGAAACTCGCGCCACAGGCCCTCGAACGCCTCGCCGTAGCGGCGCACGTGGTACGGGTCGTCGGTGATGAGCATGTTTTCGCAGTTGACGTTGCCCGCGGACCAGCTGAAGTTGTACGACCCAGTGAGCAGTATCTGGCCGTCCACGAGGCAAAACTTGTGATGCATGTGCCGCGGCGTCGAGCCGGAGCGACGCATGGACCCGTCCTCTGCCGTCCTCCACTCCTCGAAGTCTGAGTCCACCACCGTTGCGACCCCCGCTTCGGCGAGCTCAAAGACGAGTGACCCGTCGTTCATCGCAGTCACATCGTCTGTGATTAGCCGCACCGCCGCGCCGCGCTTGTGCGCATCGAGGACCGTGTCGGCGATGCGCCGGTCCGAGAGAGTAAAGACGCACACGTCGAGGGTGTGGCGCGCCGTCGCCAGCACGCCGCACAACTCCTCCCGCGCCGCGACCGAAGGGAAGAAGAGCGTCGCTGCGGCGGCGGAGGGAGGCATCAGCAGATCGCTCTCGAGAGTCGCGGCCAGCGAGCCAAGCGACGACAGGAGCGCCGCCATCTCCGCCGCCGCGCCGCGCCGCCGTCCTCGCCGCCGCATCAGCTCGCAGCACTCCTCGGTGGCGGTGTGCAGCAGCCAGCGCGCCTGGCCGAGATGAGCCGAGATGAGCCGAGATGAGCCGAGATTGCCCGAGATTGGCCGAGACTCGTTCAGTTGGCGGTGTGCAGCAGCCGGTGCGCCTGCACCGGCCGCAAATTCAGCCGCTGCAGCAACGCGCGGCAAGCGCCGAGCGACAAGCGGCCGGACGGGGCCTGGGCGAGCAACTGGGAGAGAGCCGCCGCGACCTTCTCCTCGGCTGTCCCCTGGGACGACTGGGCGCGCCCCATCGCCGGAGGGAGGCGGGCGGCGCGCCTACGCGACATGTCTCGGACATGTCGTGGACGTGTCCCGGACATGTCGCGAGGGGGCGGGCGGCGCGCCCTCGCAGCGCCGCCTGCAGCTTGGTCGCCGCCGCCGCGGTCGAGACTGGGTTTGAGCGCGAGAAGGCCGCGTGGAGCCGTTCGAACTCGGCGCTGTACGCGGACACCTAACAGATCGCTGCCTTCGTGCCAGCAGCGGGCGCTCCATTCGTCAGTTGCTGATGAACGCGCGGACACCAGCTTCGGCTCCGAAGAGACGAGGATGTTTTCGCAGTTGCGAGAGCTCGCGGCGCCCGTCCAGTTGAAGGAGCCGGTGGCGAGGATGCGGTGGTCCACAACGCAAAACTTGTGGTGCATCCGCTTCTCGCGCTCCCCCTCCGCCTTCCGCCCGTTGGCGCCCTCGTGAAGCGGCTCGTCGACGACCGTGTAGGCGAAGGCCGCCGTCTTGAAGATCGCGGCGCCCTTGTTGAAGGCCTGTCGCGGACGTGTCGTGGACTTGTCGC